AATCGTTTTAGCACGCTGTTCATAGATCAGTTTGTACATTTTTTAGCGTGCGCAGTGAAATAGCTCACGTTTTTATATCCTTAAACCTTTGATAGAGCCGGCCCTATTAGTGTTCAGTTTTACAAGCAAGTTTCCATCTAAACATTATTCGATTCACTTCAGTGTCATTAAAGAGGAAAAATGATCTGATCAAACCAGGGTGGTTAGGTTGCCTTTGGGACTCGATTAAGATGATATTAATGATCATGAAAGGTGGGGCTGATGGTCTCTGTGAAGCTTTAAATGAATGTCTGGGTCAGAATGAAACTGTAAACGTTCTGCATTCTTAGAAAGCTTCTCAGAAAAGCTATGAAATAAAACAACAATAGCAAAGTTCTACTTCCCTTTTAGATCCACCCACACCCCCCCACAACCCCCCCCCCAACACCCCCACCCCCCACACCGACCATCACATCAACAAACCAAAATAGCTCCAACCAACAGAAACATTGTAGGAATGTCATTCATCCATGCTGGACCTTTCAGGAGCTTTCAAAGCAAAACGCACATGTCAGCATTGTCCTTGGTTTCCCACGGCAACCCAGGGAACCCAGGCTCTGTTTACACCTCTGTCCATAGCAACACTCTGCTACTGGGAAGGATTCTACTGGTTTCTCCTGGAGTTTGGTCTCTTCTGTTGGGCCAGAGTGAAGATTCCCACAATTCCTGGAAATCTGTGAAGAATTTGTTTCTGGACAGGATTGTTAAGGTGATGATGATCTTCTGTGATACAGTCCAACTGTTACACATTAATAGACTCACTTTGTTGCTCTATTTGTCTGTTTAATCAAAAATAATATATAATTTTTAGTTTTTCTGCTTCTCTTTTTTCATAGAAGTATAACAAAGATAAAGTGTAATTACTAATAATATCTGATTCATTATAAAGGTTAAAAACAGCAATTCATAAGTGACATTGTTCCTTTGGATGCTATTTATATCCATTGATTATTTTTTGCATTCTGTCACATTACAGCCACAGTTTCTCTTTTTGAAAGGGCTTCATTAGACAGACCTATAAAACTTTAAGCTGGAGCTGAAGATTCATTTATTGTTGATCTAATATCACTGAATAAAATCAAGTGCAAGAAAATGACATGAATTAATCTAAGCTGGTTTGCTGATGCCAAACTTTTCACTTAAAAACTCTAACCGTCATGGTGGAGTGGTGAGAATAAATAGATAAAAAGTTTGATTTTAGTCAGAAGAAAACATCTTGATAAAGGTTCTTTAAGCTGGAACCAAACTATATGCCCAACCTGCAACAAACATGGTTGTGGCGGTATCATGATGTGGGAATAGATGGAGCCCAAAAACGGGACTATAGTCGTAGAAAACAGGTAAGAGGTTCCAAAAGATTTGATGCTGGGGTTGAGGTTCAGCCTCCAGCATGAGGCCGTAAATATGGAGCCCAATCTGGAGCGGCTCACTCCGTTGAATTGTAATTGTTATCTTAATATATGTGCGATGCAATGCACATATGTTTAGAAACGAGGAGTTTTTAAGGAATGCATAAAAACCCTAACCTCTCTTGTCTCGTATAGATGCCTTCACTGTCATTTTTACTAAAAAAGTATATAGATCTTGGTGACCTCAATCAGAAACATCATATTTTTCTAGGGATGCAGGATATTGGGATTTTGGCCGATATCCGATATGCCGATATTTTAAACCTCATGTAGCCGATAACCGATATCGATACCGATGTTAAAGCTGGACAAAAATAAGTAGTCATTGAAAATAGCAGTTTTGTTATCCATTTCTGACACTTTGAAAAATAATATACTCAAATATATTTTCATATGCTGATATCAAATAGATTTTTAAAAACGCGGTATCGATCTATTTTACTTTCAAAATCTGGTGAAATTTCATCGTTCTGTTACAAACTCTCGTGATATTTTGCAAATTCTTGTGAGATTTTGTTAGTAAAATAGATCGATACCGCGTCAATATATCAACATATAAAAATATGGCAACATTGGGTGAATTTTCGGGGGATTTCGTAGCATAACGATGACATATAGCAATATTTCATTAGTAAAAGAGATTGATATGGTGTTTTTAAATGGCAATATATCAGCATATGAAGATATTGGGATATTTTAATGGATCAATATTTTTTCCCTCGTCTTTAGAAGTTTTTAAGTCTGTAAAAAAGAAGTTTTTGAGGAAGAAGTAGTATTTTTTATTTTTTTTTTTTAGACTTTAGAAACTCAGAAGCTGATCAAATATCGGGTTAAATATCGGTGGGGTGGCCGATGTCCGATATTCAGTTTTAAGGCCGATACCGATAGGGGGCCGATTATATCCTGCATCCCTATATTTTTCCATATTATTAGGAAAGCATTTAATTTAACCAAAACAGAAAAATAAATTACCTTCATGATAATGCAGTATTTTAAACTTTTCTGTTTCAATGAATCTGAAGAAAGTATATTAAAATATCTGTCATTTGAGAAAATATCAACAATAATTTATGAGTTATGGATACATTTAAAATCCATATTAGCTGATAGAGGCGGACTGTAGGAAAAGGATTGATAATCTGTGTCACGATTTGGTGTTGGATTGAGGACCCAAAAGCAGAGGCAAGTAGGCAGAGGTGAATTTAGGTGGGTTTAATGAGGTCCACTGGTACAGAGACAGGAATAAAAAAAACCAACAAAATAACAAACAAACCAGAACCAAGGAGACATCAGGGGAAAACCCAACTCTAGGAGCCAGGGAGAGACGAGGAAAGCAGACAGACGTTAGACGAGGATCCAGCAAACAGGAACTGAAGAGGGAGGCTTTTAAAGGGGACAGAGACAAAAAGAGGGCTAACGAGGGGATTGAAAACAGGTGAGGGCAGAACAGAAAACAGAGCAAGAGAAAGAGGACACAAGAGGGCAGCAGAGGACAACAAATGGAAAACCTGGAAGACAGGAACTAATAAGAAAACAACAAAATAATAATTAAACACTAAAACAAGGAGCAAAGTAAAACTGAATACTCTAAATAAACATAACAAAACCAAGACTGTGACAATCTGTGGATGAACTGTTTCTCTCTGAGCGTGGGACTGATTGCAGGGAAACTCAAAGTGCTTTTATGCTTCTTCCAGGTGGAACATGTCTTTAAAGAGGCGACTGGTTTCCATGTTCCTGTGCTGTATTTACTGCGTGGCCTCGCTCTTCTGCCTCCATCCCAACCGCAGTTCTGTGGGAGCGCGGTAAGTTGGCAGTTTGTCAAATCATTCACAAAAAAACAAAGTACGCCTAGATGTTAAAGCCGTTACTGTATTTGATGTTGACTTTTTAACCTTCAGTTAGATCAAAACCTGGGATTTGACATCTAAAAAAATGGAAATGAAGTGATGAGGTTTTAGTTGATGTTCCTCTCTCTGGAATTCATTTTTATAAATTAAAATCTATTAAGACTACAGAGAAACCCAGTGCTGCTATAATCTGAGGATCCTTAACTTGAAATGATTTAAGCATTGATTTGTAATTTATTTATGCATATAGATAATGACAGTGCCTTCTCAATCTGCAGCCTTTACAATCCCAAGTCTGTCACTTGAAATAATATTAAAAATTGTTATTTTTAAAACTATAAATTATTTTATGAAATATTTTCTACTCTGACAATAAAGAAATAACTATTGACTCTTTAAATATCTTATCACTGTTTATATTTGTGCCTAGCTTGAAGGGTGGGAACACTTTACTGGGATTTCAGAATCAAACTGGTTTTTGTCACATGTACTGCTTAGATCCTCCACTAGAAGGAGTAAGATAATAATGGGACCATAAATAGCAGTTTTTTGTGCGTTATACCACAGTGTAGGTCGGTCCCAGAGCTCCACTATCCAGCAGCGTTTGCATGAATCCCTTCTTCAACTCACCTGGGAAAAAAAATAATGGTGAATGGCCCGTCCTCTGATTAACTAGCAGATATATCCCAGAATGCTTTGCGAGGGGAGTGCTCCTAATAAGTACTGCATAGTTACCAAGGTGAACAAAGGGGAACTAATAAGGAACTAAACTTTATTTAACCAGTACTTATTAGGGGACTTTAACACAAAATTAGAGTAGAAATTCTTAGTGTTGGTTCTGGATAAACCCTAATCCTGCAAAGTCACATCATCAAAAAAAAAAACGACTTTACTGCGTACCAGATTATTGTCTATCTATTATAGTATGGACTTTGTTGAGTGAAACATCATATCGAGGAGTTACTAAGGAACCAGGGGCAGATTTAGGAAACTTAGGGCCCTAGGCAGAGGCAGGCAGGGGCCCCTCTGAATGGAGAAGGCAACAAATAAAACAGACCCATTCTACAGATGTAGAAATGTTAATAGAATAGACATCCATTATCTGTTCTAGGTTGTGTCCCTCTCTTCTTGTCCCTTTTCTTCTTG